TGTAATTCAAAAATGTTCCCTTAAAAAAATCGTACTATCACGAAAACGTGTTAAGCAGGCACATGTTAAATGAGGAATTACTGTACATACCCTGGATATCAGAAGAGCAGACTGACTCCCTCAGAGAACTGATGGGCAGGATTCCCTGGGATGCTAACATGAAGGGGAAAGGAGCCCAGGAGAGCTGGCAGTATTTTAAAGAAGCCTTATTACAGGCACAGAAAGAAACCATCCCGATGTGCAGCAAGAAAAGCAAATATAGTAGGCGACCAGTTTGGCTTACCGGGGACATCGTTGGTGAGCTTAAACACAAAAAGGAAGCTTACACGAAGTGGAAACTTGGGCAGATGACTAGGGAGGAGTATAGATGACTAGGATGACTAGGGAGGAGTATAGATGACTAGGATGACTAGGGAGGAGTATAGATGACTAGGATGACTAGGGAGGAGTATAGATGACTAGGATGACTAGGGAGGAGTATAGATGACTAGGATGACTAGGGAGGAGTATAGATGACTAGGATGACTAGGGAGGAGTATAGATGACTAGGATGACTAGGGAGGAGTATAGATGACTAGGATGACTAGGGAGGAGTATAGATGACTAGGATGACTAGGGAGGAGTATAGATGACTAGGATGACTAGGGAGGAGTATAGATGACTAGGATGACTAGGGAGGAGTATAGATGACTAGGATGACTAGGGAGGAGTATAGATGACTAGGATGACTAGGGAGGAGTATAGATGACTAGGATGACTAGGGAGGAGTATAGATGACTAGGATGACTAGGGAGGAGTATAGATGACTAGGATGACTAGGGAGGAGTATAGATGACTAGGATGACTAGGGAGGAGTATAGATGACTAGGATGACTAGGGAGGAGTATAAATATATTGCTTGAGAATGCAGGGGAGTTATCAGGAAGGCGAAAGCTCAACTGGAATTGCAGCTAGCAAGGGATGTAAAGGGTAACAAGAAATGTTTCTACAGGAATGTTAGCAATAAGAGGGTGATCAGAGAGGGTGTGGGGCCCTTACTGGATGAGGGAAGTAACCTAGTGGCAGAGGATGTGGGAAAAGCTGAAGTACTCAATGCTTTCTTTGCCTCTGTGTTCACAGTCAAGGTCAGCTCCCAGACAAATGCACTAGGCGACGCAGTATGGGAAGGAGGTGGACAGCCCTTGGTGGGGAAAGAACATGTTAAGAACTATTTAGAAAAGCTAGACATACACAAATCCATGGGTCCAGATTTAATGCATCCAAGGGTACTGAGGGAGTTGGCAAATGTCATTGCGGAGCCTTTGGTCATTATCTTTGAAAACTTGTGGTTTCTAGCAGAGTGCCCCAAGGTTCGGTTTTGGGACTTGTTTTGTTCAACGTCTTTATTAATGACCTGAATAAGGGGATGGATTGCACCCTCAGCAAGTTTGCGGATGACACTAAGCGAGGGGAGAGGTAGATACCCTGGAGGGCAGGGACAGAGTCCAGAGTGACCTGGAGAGATTAGAGGATTGGGCCAAAAGAAATCTGAAGAGGTTTAACAAGGAAAAGTGTAGAGTCCTACACTTGGGACGGTAGAATCCCAAACATTGTTACAGGCTGGGGACCGACTGGCTAAGGAGCAGTTCTGCAGAAAAGGACCTGGGGATCACAGTGGATGTGAGTCAACAGTGTGCCCTCATACCTAAGAGGGCTATTAGGGTGCATTAGGAGGTGCATTGCCAGTAGATCCAGAGAAGTGATTATTCCCCTTTCTTTGGCTCTGGTGAGGCCACATCTGGAGTACTGTGTCCAGTTCTGGGGCCCCACTATAGAAAGGATGTGGACGCATTGGAAAGGGTCCAGCGGCGAGCGACCAAAATGATTAGGCGGCTGGAGCTTCTAACTTATGAGGAGAGGCTGAGGGATTTGGGTTTGTTTAGTCTGCAGAAAAGAAGAGTGAGGGGAGATTTGATAGCAGCCTTCAACTTCCTGAAGGGAGGTTCCAGAGAGGATGGAGAGAGGCTGTTCACAGTAGTGATGGATGGCAGAACCAGGAGCAATGGTCTCAAGCTACAGTGGGAGAGGTCTAGGTTGGATATTAGAAAAAACTATTTCACTGGGGGGGGGGACGGATGAAGCACTGGAATGGGTTACCTAGGGAGGTGGTGGAATCTCCGTCCCTAGAGATTTTTAAGTGTCGGCTTGACAAAGCCCTGGCTGGGTTGATTTAGTTGAGACTTAGTTGAGATTTAGTTTAGCTGGACTTGATGACCTCCTGAGGTGTCTTCCAGTTCTATGATTCTGTGGCAGTGTCTGCATGGATGACTGACCACCTCTCTCTCTTTGTGTTCTCCACAGCTGGACCAGCCAGGACTGAGGGGCAACTCACGCCACTGCAGCCAGCTGCCAGAGCCCGAGGGACCCGAAAGTGCCCAAGGGTCTACGAACACCTCTTGAAGCAGCATATGGGCGTCCAGAGAGACACGCAGCAGACTCTGACACACAGGACCCGGGAGGACGTAGAGTTGCGGACCCTCATGTGGGACCAGCTCATGCGGCAGGACGATAATATGTGTGCCGTCATGCGGGAACTGATGGCACTCCTCTGCCCCCCTGCTATGCCCATTCCCCTTCCTCCTAGCCCCCAAGTGATGCCTCTGCTCCTTCTCCCTGCCATCCCTGACCCTGCTCCAGCCCCCCTCCGGCTCACCCACCTGTTGCCCCAAGCCCCACCCAACCTCAAATTTGCCAAGGACCCCGGACCTGAGGTGTCACTTCCAACCTCTCCCCATGCCACTCCCAGCCCTGAGCTCCCCTTCTCTGTCCCCCCTTCAGGATCTCAGCCCCTGTCCTCTCCAGTTTATTTTATTGAAAGAAAAATACAAAGTTTGTTATGTTGAAATCAAAACAGGGGTGTTTATTCAGTGTTCAGGGAAGGGAGGGGTTGTGGTGGGAAAGGGATAGTGGAGCAAGGCACAGGCCCCTAGTGGGGAGAGTTACCGGGGTCTTTGAGAGAACTTCACCCTCAGGGTCTCCCGGATGTGTACCCCCACTTGATGGGCCTGGCAGATTGCAGCTGTGCGCAGCTGCTCAATGGCTCTTCCTTCCCGGCTGGCTTCTGCCCCCCCACGACAGGCTGAGACCACTTCAAGGATGTTGTGCTCCCCAACATCAAGATCGGTCAGGAGGCACCTGAACTACACCTTCAGGCATCTTCCACCTGCATTTGCGCCAAAAGAAGTGGGCATTGAATTGGTCCCTGTTGGGGTCCAGGTGGCCGGTGTACAGCTTCATCAGCCACAGCATGAGAGGGTAGACTGTGTCCCCCATATGACACATGTGACAAAGTGGGTCTTTGCCCACGAAAGGTTATGCTCCAATAAAGCTGCTAGTCTATAAGGTGCCACAGGACTTTTCATTTTTTATTTACAATGTAAGTTAATTTCATGCTCTACCTGCCTCACACTGATTACTGCAAATGAAATGTCATACTAATCAACCTGAACTATATGACTGTAGTGACAGTATCACCCACTTCCACAAAATTATTTTTGCCAATAAACTTTAGTAGTTTTACAGCTGCAAAAACATGCATACCTAAGCACCTTTTAAATAAGCTACACCTGACCATTTTAACTGATTTTTAAATCCCACAGAATACGTGCCACATAATAAAATGATGGCAGTGCTAGGAAAAGAAATTGGTCATTATGGCAATGGTCAGTCAGATAATTGCTGAAGCTATTTTGGATGTGAAAGTTAAGAGAAATCCTTTACTAGTGTTAGTGCTTCCATTTCACCTGTGGTTGCATTCTATTTAATAATCATATTTGATCAATTACTCCATATTATCTTCATCACATCCTTTTTACCCCAAACACACATGGCTATAAGACACTGGAAAGCTGCAGAAGCCCACATACTACCATGGATTTGCTATTTCTGTATTTCAGTAAATGATGCAGAAAGTGTACGAAGCCTTAAAATGAGAAAAGCAGGAGAAATATGCACATTGATTATGTAAAACAATGTTTTCTTTTAGTAAGAACATTAAGACTCTCATAAAAGAAAGGCTGCTTCCTGATTTCTTGGTACTAGTATTTGACAATTTTGTATGAACTGGTCCCAGGAGGATAAGCAGCAGATAAATAAGAAAGTGATGCTTCTCTTTTATCACAATCAGCCTTTTATCACAATCAGCACTGTACATTCAATAGTTATGAAGAAAAAAGCCATCTAGTGTATTCCAAATACTAAAATCTTGCACAAGATGCAATCGGATGGGAATGCTACCCTGTACTCTAGTGGATGCTTGGGATAAGTTAGGTAAGCAACTGAATAAATGTTTGATTTTGTCTAAAAACTGAGAATGAATCAGAAAACATACAGGTTTTCAACCAACTGTGAAACAAGCCACTTTATGCTTCCATTGCTGTCTACGTACATCCCTTGTTATATCCTGTGGGGTCCTATTTTGGATATGTATTACTATGACAGAAAAATACATATATTGTATTTATTCTGTAATAGTCCTTCCCCGCCATCATGTGCTGAGTAATTTGCTCCTAGGTATAAATACATCCTTTGTTATAAACTACTGTAATGTTAATTCTATGTAAGTCGTGCTGGGTGAATTATTGCCTTCCACCACTGTCCTCTTTGTCCCACAATTTAATTATTTCTCTTAATCAGACAACTCCCAGGAATGGTGGGAGAGTGATTTCATGCATTGCACACAAGGAAAGAAATGCTCTCTATGATAGTGAAGTGTATGACAGAAAACTAGTCACTTCTGAGCAATAGCAGATTCTGACCCTCCACGCAGAAGCCACCTTATGCCCATGTGGAGTGATGCTGAACTGAGAGTGACTGCAGATAGCCATGACCATGAACTCTTTCTGCAAGATTAGGACCCTAGTTAGCTGCAGATCACGATAGCTTTCATCAGTATCACTATCAAGCAAAGAGATGTGAATCTTATCACCCTTGAATCATAAAGAACCAATCAAACAACTCACAATGACTTCTTTGAAGGAGCCTTTGTCATTGATTGTCATATCTTCTATACATCCAGACTGATTCAAATAGTGGTAGTGCTCTGGTAGAGATAAGTAAAATGCATCTGCAAAGAGAAAAAACATGTCAGAACCTAAAGAGTTAAAGAATTAGTTCATGTTTCATTTACTAGAAATATGCATGAGCAGGGACACAAAATCAAGTGGTTGATAGTTGTGATTCTCAGCCAGGGGAATATGTATCCCTGGGGTACGCAGATGTCTCCCAGGAGGGTTACATCAGCTCATGTAGGTTTTTGCCTAGTTTTACAAGCTACATAAAAAGCACTAGCAAAGTCAGTACAAACTAACATTTCATACAATAACTTGTCTACACTGCTTTAAATATTATACACTGACATTAAGTAAAATATTTATACTCTAATTAATTTTATAATTACATGGTAAAAATGGGAAAGTAAGCAATTTTTCAGGAACAGTGTTCTGTGTGACATTCTGTATTTTTATGTCTGATTCTTTAAAGAAGTATATTTTAAATGAGGTGAAACTTGGGGGTAGACAAGTCAAACTCCTGAAAGGGACACAGTAATCAAGAAAGGCTGAGCCACTGGTTTATAGTATTAGAAAATGTATCACATTAATTGGATAATTTTCATTTTATCTAGCTGTGAAACACCATGACCTGTACTCTGCATCGCACACAGACAGCTGGTGAAAAAGGTGGCAGTAAGACAGCTTAGATATTTTTACACAAATGCTGTTTTTCTTGCAAGGAAGTTAGTCTTCATGGACAAAGGCCTGAGAGTACAATTCCTTCTCCTCTCTTCCCTTTTGACTTTCCTAGCGCCTACCCAAGATACTTAGTCTGGATGCTGTGATGCGTGTTTGTTCCTAACTATTCCCAGGTCACAGAGTGAATTTGCAGGAGCTGGGAATAAATCCCAGGTGGCCTGGTGGATTCTTATGCTAAAAAGCACCCTCCCACCACCACCACTTTTGAAAGTTGGTGTCAGGAATGTGAGACGAGCTTTGCCACTCACCTTTCTCTTCCTCTTCTATCCCTGCCAATAGTGCATAGAATATGTGATAATTTCTCTCCCCAGGGTTCTGCCTTACCACACGGTTCTGTCAAAGCAAGTAAGATTTCTATTTAGAGGATTATTTTTAAGGGGAACCTATTCATCAGCAATATTTGAGAAAATCTATGAATAAAACAAAAATACTGAATGACAGCAAATGTTGACTTACTTTTTCTAATAAATCTTTCATGAGGAACAAAGTAATCCATCAAGGAATAAAATGGTGAAGTTAAAGACCTATTTGTTTATAACTCTCTCATAGTTTGACTTGAGACTAAAAAGAGCATTGTATCTAATGTTTTACACCTGTTTGCACAGCAAAAGGAGGAGTTTCCATAACTAACACATTCAGCCATTTCTAATTCCAAAGCCTTTTTCAACAGGGCATACTGAAGTGTTGTCATGTTCTGCAGTAAATGAGGATTTGAAGTGATACTAACCTTGACATGTAAACAAGTAACTTTTGTGCAAAGACCTAGGCATGATTTGGAGGCTCCCTTCAAAAAACACACAGACAAGATGCAGCTGTTCCACAGCCAATAATCTTGTTACAGTGCAGAAAGAGCAACCACAACACAACACCCCTATGTAGGGCTTAAGGGTACTTCAGCTCTCTAAATACACTCCTCAATTTGCAACCTTCCATATCCTATATGAAGCTGGTGCATAGCCCAGCACTGTTGAGTGCAAGCAGTGTGACCAACTGGAGGCTACTTCTCTCATAAAATGGAACCTCTGGACTGGGCTTTCCTGGGTTATTATGCCCTTGGATGACTTTCACCTGGCTGGTGAAGAGCTGGTAATCAGAGATTTTCCCATGAAAAGGCATTATTCACTCACTCCGAGAAAACACGCACATTAGTCATTATACCAGAAATGAGATGGTTTAATGATTTTGAATTTGGTTAGCAGAATGGATAGATGGACACACACACTGCATCTGGACTAACTGATTTCTTTTTCAAGGTCACTCAGGATAGGGTTTTTTTTTTTTAAACCTGGAATCTTTGTGCATCAGCAGAGGGGCAGGCTAAGCTGGTATGCCCCTTGCTATTCTCCACCAAAGAGCTAAAGGGAGCATATCACCCTGAACTACAAAGACACGCAGCAAGCAGAGAGGATACAATCTACAATTCTTCCTCCCTGGATGTTTCCCTTCTGACAGATGTTCAGTTGAACAAATTTCCCAAAGCGGCTCGAGTTGTTGTTGTAAACAGTCTTCGCGTTGCCAAAAGCTTCCATAATTGGGCTGTGAAAATAAGTGAGAACAACAAAAGTATTAACTTGTAAAGGAACGTCACTGACAAGAGCACTGCACTCCAGCATTTGAGGAAAGGCATAATCTCCATAAAGCCCAGCTCTAACACTATCCTCAGCCATGGTCCATGTCCTCCATAACTGCCATAGCTCGAAACAACTCAGTTATACCACAGGCTGGATGTCTGTAGTGAAGTGGCCATAATACTAAATAATAAAAAGGCATTAACCATGTTCAGCTCCAAATACAAAACTGAAATAAGATTTATTATAAAAGGTCTATATTATAATTTTTGTTTAGCGTTTGCATTATAGTAAAGAGAAAAGGCCCCCTCAAACCAGGATACAATTATGCAGTATGCCATCCGGAAATAAGGGGACAGTTCTCATCCTAAAGAGCTTATATAATCTTACTTTAGGGTGAAACACAAAACAGAGGTAGGAAGGGACAGGGAAGATGTGTGACAAGCAATAGCAGAAGATTTGTTTATAGTCTAGCTGTGTGCACAACTTGTTAAGATGTTGAATGAATTTAGTGCTTGGGGAAGGTACTTGCTTAAGGGCAGATCTTTCAAATCAGCTGGCCTGATTTTTCATTATCTAATCAAGCTACCTGCAGCAACTCTGCAGATCATTACTGCCTGTTTCTCTTTAGCTGCCGCGCAAACCTCTCTCTTGCCCGCCAAATTTTTTTATAATATATTTTACTTATTTCTCTGCTCCATTCAGTTCTCCCCTTCACACCTCCTGTTGGCTTCCCTCACTCCCATCCACTCAATTCAGTCCCAAGCAAAAATGAAAAAACCCCTAGAAAACAAAAGCCCAATTTGAACAAAACTGCTTCAACTCATTGCACAGAGCCATTCCATTAGCGACCATGTAACTCTCCCCCACACTTACTGACTTTGAATTCACTTTAATTTATTGTCCAGCATGTAAATATCACTGAGACTACAGTAAAACAAAGATGTGGAGGTTTTTTCAAATAGAAATAAATATAAACACTAAACAAAAATACCAAAGTTATTTCTGCCGCACCTCTCTACTGAACAAGGAAAATGAAAAAAGCAAAACTCTTAATGGGCTTATTACACAGAAATTTTGAATATATGTAGCTCCCCTGACTTGTTTTGATTTAAAAAAAATTAGAGCTCTAAGGCTGGGAAACAGTGGAAAACCCATAGGCTCCGTCTAGACTGGCATGATTTTCCGCAAATGCTTTTAACGGAAAAGTTTTTTTGAGGTGGGCCTGTGAAAATGCTTTGTTCACTCTGTCATATTTTAACATTAAGGCTACGTATAGACTGGCATGATTTTCTGCAAAAGCACTTTTTGCGGAAAAGCATCCATGCCGATCTAGACACGGTTTTGCGCAAGAAAGCCCCAATCGCCATTTTCGCAATCGGGGCTTTTTTGCGCAAAACAATACCGCGTTGTTTACACTGGCCCTCTTGCGCAAAAGCATTTGCACAAGAGGGCTTTTGCCTGAATGGGAGCAGCATAGTATTTCCTCAAGAACACTGATAATCTTACATGAGATCGTCAGTGTTCTTGCAGAAATTCAAGCGGCCAGTGTAGACAGCTGGCAACTTGCCAGTCTAGATGCAGCCACCGTGTATAATGAAATTCTAAGAATGTGGGGAGAAAAAACAGTGGGAAAACAGTGGGAAAAACCTGCAATGTGAATCGACAACTCCTAGTTCAACAAATGCCAGCAACACAGATTTTATATCCCAAGAGCCACAAACACTGGAGAAGGCAAAAACATGGTGGTTCATCTGTCTATTCCCTGAGTGACAGCACAGGATCATTTTCCAGTGTTTGTGCAGCAGTCTAGTTTTAAATCTCTTCAGCATCAATGGTTGTTCTACCTCTGTTGTTCTGTATTGTGTGCAACAGGCCATGCATGACAACATATAGTACCTGCTCTCAAGAATCGCTTGCTCCACACAGGAGGTCTTTTCTTTACAGGACAATTCCAGCGAATGTTGGCTCATGGCGGATAAGAATTTGAGAATCAGCTTAGTGCTTTCTGTCTTACCGGCACCACTTTCACCACTGAAAGACAAAAGAAAAAAAAACCCACACCAAAGTGTTTCTGAAAAAAAATTCCTTGGTCTGGGCTACATCAAGGCACATACAAGTCAAAGTGAAGGGAGTGATTAGTGAGGGCTGTCAGACCATGACAATTTGAATCAGTGAAATTTAAAATGCTATGAGAATGTAAATGTCACATTGGAACTTCGTACAACACTCATAATAGCTCTACACTTCTATAGCATCTTTCAGCCAGGATCTCAATTTACTAACATGTGACAAGCACGCCTTCAACTCCTGGGAGGTACCAAGAGAGAGATTACATAATACACCACCGCTGAAGTGCAGCCATCTCAGAGTGGAATAGAGTACAAGGCCAGATGGTCAGGTGCCAACAGATATGTTAAAACCAATTGTAAAGTGAATCCAAAACCAGGAGTCTTCCCACACATAAGGGAGACTGGGTAAGGCTGCAGAATGGTTATTCATGGGATTACTTGCTGTGAAACAGCGCATTAGTAAATGCATAGGCAGTAAGATAGGCACATGTTTGGCAATGCATACTTAGATATCATCATTACTGTTCATAATGAAGATGAGACTACTGCTACAGGTTTCTTTTAAATAAATATTTTTTATGCAGGGGTAGACTCTCAACTTAATCATCCTAACAGCATAAATCCACAGCAACTCAGTATACTTTTACCTAATCTCCACTCATTTTATTTTATATATAAACTATTAGGGTATGTCTACACTGCAGCATTATTTTGAAATAGCTTATTTCGAAATAGTTAATTCAAAATAAGTTATTTCAAAATAACGTATCTACACACAAAATGCATTTCGAAACAGCGTTTTGTTATTTCGAAATAGCGCATCCACACTGAGTTGATACTGAATCGCATTTAAGGCCGGCCGGAACCAGGTCCGGCAGGGCATGAGGTCAGGAGTTACTTCATGTGGCTGCTGCCTGAGGCTATCTGAGGCCTGTGCTTAAAGGGACCCCCCTGGACTGCCGGTTCTCAGCTTCCCCTGCTTGCTTGCCTACCTCGATGAAGGACAGCAAAGCATTTTGTCTCTGAGTGCTCTGGTTGCCCTCACTCAGGATACCACAGAACTCTGCAACATGGAGCCAGAGCTGTCCCTGGGCACTCTGGTGCTTCTCTTGGACACGTTGCTGCGAGCCTGGCTGCACTTTCTGCAGGCTGCCATCTGGGAGGTCCATTGGGAGGCTGTCAGTATCCAGGAGGCCCTGCGGGACAGCTTCCACCCTGAGGAGCACTAAGAGCCTCCCTGGTCTGCCCCACTGGGGGCTTGTGCCTCATTCCTCCCTCACGTCCTTCCACTTACCCCTCTCTAGCCCCCCTTCTGATGTCAAATAAAATACATGTATTTTCATGAACACAAACTCTCTTTATTTAACAAAACTGGGGGGGGGGGGGAAAAAAAAGGACACGTGTGTTCAAAAATAGAAACGCTCTTTATTTAACAAAACTGCTGGGGGCGGGGGGAGATTAACCTCTGGGGAGACTGGGAAAAGGAGGTGGGAGAGAGGAAGAGAGAGCATGGGAGAGGAGAGGGGAAAACCTGGGATTCAGGAAATTGCCTGATGTGGACATTAGTTATCTATAACCAGCTCTTTGCACTTGTACCTCTATGATCTCTTAGGTTAATACAAATAAATTATATAACTTACAACTGTCACAGTTATGTGGAAGGGAATCAGATTTGTATACGGGTTTCAGACTATTTGCTGTTTAGCTCTATGATGTCATTCCAGGATTTTAATATTATTTATCAGTTGTATTACTTGTTAATCCAGGAGTTAAACATCTACTTTTCTTAATAAATAAAAAATAAGATGAAATTATCGAATAAAATGAACCTAATTCTGATGTGTTTATGATGATCTGTAAAAGTAGAACTTGGGTAGCACACAATATAAGGGTTGCTCAATTGTATATCAATTGTGTACAGTTAAAGAAATTTGTTCTCTATCTTCTGATTGATAGACCTTTCATTAAATAAGAAACTCAACTATTTCAATAAATACCAGTAATGAGAATGATTCATTTAAAAACAGAGTCTTGTAACTTGAAAGTTAGTAACTTCACTCATCTTTTTAAAATAATGCTATTACTAGGTATGCTATGCCCCCTATAAGTGTCTACACAGCACTTATTTCGAAATAGCAATTTTGAAATTGGCGTTATTCCTCATGGAATGAGGTTTACCAATTTTGAAATAAGTCCTCCATTATTTTGAATTAATTTTGAAATAGTGTTTGGCTTGTGTAGACACTAGGAAAGTTATTTCAAAATAACAGCTATTACTTCGAAATAACTTTGATGTGTTGACATACCCTTATATATATTATATTTTAAATAGAATCTAAAACACCTATTACCTCATAGAGCAACTATCCAATTGGTAAAGTTGTATGCAAAATTAGTGCCAAAATAGAACTGTAAAACATACAGAGACTTTGTGATACAGTTAAAGACACACTGATGCTTGAAAAACAATCAGTTCTGATACAAACAGCGTATTTACATTACTAGGCCATTTACCTAGAAACAGTGAGACACATTTTGCTTTTTTGTTCAATCCCATTTCCTTCAATAATGTTGCATGTTAGCAGCTTCAGAGCATAATTTAACCCAAAATTTAATTGAGCTTACTTCTTTAAAAAAAACAAAACAAGTTATTTATCTTTCGTAACTACTGTATGAGAAGTGTTGCTCATGTCCATTCCAATAGGTGTGTGTGTGCATGCATGCCCAGTCTCCAGAAAGTTTTTACTTTAGCAATATCTGTAGGGTCATCTGTTAAGCCCCCTAGTGTGGCATTGCTATGGCAGTGCAAATAAGACACAGCCGCTCCCCTGCCCTCTCAGTTCCTTCTTGCCAGTATGTTTCAACAGAGGGGAGGCTGGAGGATGTGGAATGGACATGAGCAACACATCTCGAAGAAGAACAGTTACGAAAGATAAGTAACCATTTTTTCCTCAAGTGATTGCTCATGTGCATTCAAATAGGTGACTTTCCAGAGGTTCCCTTTAGAAGAGGGGTCCAACGTCATCTTATGGCTAAAGTGAGGACCGCCCTGCCTAATGCTGCATCATCCCATGTGTGCTGCATGATGGTGTAGTGTGACGTGAAGGTGTGTACAGACAACCATATTGCTTCCCTGCAAATGTCCTGAACTGGAACTCTCTCAGGGAATGCTGACGAAGGGCCCTGGTAGAGTAGACAGTCAAAGGAAAGTGTGGCACATTCATCAAGTCGTGAATCAGGATGTGAAACAGGATGTGATCCAGTAGGAGAGTCATTGAGAGGAGACAGGGAGACCTTACATCCTCTCTGCCAGTGCAATAAAAGAGTTGAGGTGATTTGCCAAACTGCTTTGTTTTTCCATATAAAAGAAAGAGTGCGTACCAAAGAGTGCGTGCCAAATGTCCAGGGAGCGTAGCAGCCCCCCTCATCACTGGCATGGAGCCTTTGGTAGATGATAGGCAGGCAGAGAGTCTGGCTGATATGGAAATGGGAGGCCACTTTAGGAAAAAAGGCCAGATGTGGCCATAACTATAATTTTTTCCCTTATAAAAGGCAGTGTATTGGGGTTCTTACATGAGTGCCTGGGGCCCAGAGACCCACCTGGCACAGGTTACTGCTACCAGAAAGACTACTTTCCATGACAGGAATGACAAGGGACAGGTGGCCAATGATTCAAAGGGGGGAGGGGGTCCCATCAGTTTAGTGAGCATGAGGTCCAAATCCCACTGGAGATGGGCTGTCTGACCTGCGGGGATATTCTGTCCAGCCCTTTGGGAAAATGGGTTACCATGGGACCACGACTCTCTATATGGAATACAGAAACAGCTGTCAAATAAACCCTTAGAGAGGCCAGCACTGACCCTTATTGCAGGGATAGGCAAATACTGGCTCATGGGACAGATCCAATTCCTCAGGGTTAGCCCCTGGCAAGCCACTACCACTAAATTTACCCATGCCTCCACGAGTATGGCGATTGCAGCTCCTGTTGGCCACAGATCGCCATTCCCAGCCAATGGGAGCTGTGGGAAGCAGTGTTCCAGTCGTCACCTCTTTCTGTAGCTTCCATTGGCTAGGTACGGTGATCCACAACCAGCAAGAGCTGCAATTGCCCATGTTTGCAGGGGTGCAGGTAAATATATTATTTCCTGCTCCTGCCTTACAAGAGACTCTTAAGTACAAGAGACTGTCTGGAATGACAGACATGGGGGACCTTTGGGACCAGAGATTCTTGTGCTGGTACCACGAAGAAAAGTTTCCATTTGGCTGGATATGCAGCCCTGGTAGATGGCTTTCTGCTTCCCAGGAGGATCTCCAGAACTGGAATGGACCAGCCCTGCTCCATAGGATTCAACCACAGAGTATCTATGCTGTTAGGTAAAAGGACTCCAGGTTAGGGTAACAGAGCCTGACATGGTCCTGAGTGATGTGACCCCTGCAGAAGGAAAGGATTGTGGGATTTCTTTGCAGAGGCTCAGCAGCATGGTAAACCAATGTTGTCTGGGCCACCCAGAACTATGAGGATAACCAAAGCCCTATCTTTCCCGTTGTTGAGAAGGACTCAGTGAATCAGGAGGAACAGGAGAAAGGTGTAAAATGTGTGAGGTGTCCATGGGGAGTAAAATGCATCTGACAGGGACTCAGGGCTGCTGCTCAGGAAGGAACAATACATTGGGCACTTGCCCTCATTGCAAACAGGTCTACTGGGGACAGCTCCTCCTCTGGAAGCTGGGTAACAGAATGTTCACCCCGAGACACCTTTTTTGGCCAGAGAATGAGTAGCTGAGCTGGTCTGCAGGAAGAACAGGCAGAGGAGGAACGGAGGAGGAGTTGCACTACATGTAAGAGAGCACTATGATTGCTCTGAACTCCAGTATAAAGAGGGAGAAAAACCTGTTGAGAGTCTATGGGTTAAGTTTAAAGGAGCAAACAAAAGCAGTGATGTTGTGGTTGGCATCTGCTACA